GCCATTTCCTTTACAGGAATAACTGCCCTGATTCTGTTAGAAGATTCTCGTTATTATATTCAGAGTAAAGTTGTAGCGAGAAAGTAAGTATAAAATATTATAAAACAAAATATAAATTTCTATATAGAAAACGAGACCGTATTTTTGCCATGTAAGTCACATGCGACTTGTCCACATGGCCTTAAAATAAAAGTTTAAAAAATATAACGTCCAAGCCATATTAAGAACCTTAAAAATTTAATGGATATCCATGGAAGATCTCAGAGATGTTTTTCAACATGTGAGAACAAGAGAGCATTTCAATTGCTCAATTAAAGTCTCTTTTAACTTAGTCCTGTGGGTATTCTTCATAATGTTTCGCTAAAATGTTTTTATTTTTATTTGTTTTTTTTCAGTTACAAAAACAAATACTACATTATAGTTGTGCTTTATGTTCTACAGTAGATATTATACATTATTCTTGAGTATGTCAAATAAAATTTAAAATATCTGATTATTAAACTTTGGTTCTTTGCGTCTTTTTTACAAAACCAATAACTGCAATATAACGAGAAAAATTTGCAACACTTTTAGCAAAAATTGCAAGAAATGTTTAGTCTTAGTAAAAATAAAAATAAGTATTTTAAGTAATTCTATGCGTAGAGTAATTTTTTTGTTACGTTCCCACCATAGGGACAGTGACATTTTTGTGAATTTTTTTGAAAAAATAGATATCTTTCCTTTATAATACATAACAATGAGCTTCAATTTTGTGCAATATATTGTTCCTGCAATATACTCGTCAAAATACTTATAAGTACCAACTTCCAGCTCACGAGGTCAAAATTTGTAGAAGATAAGGACAAAACACCTTATTTTGAAACGAATGGAAAATGATTCTACATATAAGGGTTCCTTTGTACACACAATGTATGCGAAACCCTAAAAATAAAAAATAAATTTCGCAGTTTTATCCAATAATTTTAAAAATTGTTCCAATGATAAAAAAAAAAATTTTTTTCGGTACACATTGTCCATTCCACTTTGCTATTTTTTGGTTACAGAAACAATTGCTCAGATTCTACTTCAAATAACTGTCCAATTTTTGGCGAACAATTAGAAATTAATTAAAATTGTGTAATGTTCTTTTATAAGAAAAATTTAAATACTCTTTTCACTTACCTATTTCAATAATATAGTTGCGTATATTTTACAATAATAATCCACTAATTATGAATAATAGAAATTTTTTTAATTTTTCATAACACTATGTAAAATAAGATTGTTTTTCTTTGATATTTGCATTTGTTATATATTTATATTCCTTTTATTGCAAAATCATTGGATTGTTAAATTTTGTGCATTATTTTGTGTAAATTATATTTCCAATTACAGAATCAATACAAATACTTCATCAACTAAAATTTATTATGCTTTATCAAATAAATAAAAAAAATTTAATGATATGATTTGTAAAATTTATTGGACCGCATGCTTTTTTAAATATTCTATTCTAGAAATAATTACAGATTGTAAAAAGTAAAAAAATACATAGAATAAAAGATGCAGTACAAATCATTAATTTAGGATCACACAGAAAAAATTATTTTCCGTGTCTTAATTTTTTTTTACGAAGAGGAGGGTAATGTAACCCCAGCGAAAAAATACCTATTCCACTTTGCTTCTTTTTAATTTACAAAAGCAGCAATAAACGCCTATTGAATTAAATCTACATATTTTTTACAATTTATTGTTGTAAATAAATACTTTTAGTTATTTACTGGTGATGTAGCTTGGACTGTAAATTAAAGTAATATTCTTGGCTTGTATTTAGTACAAGAATTACTTTAATTATTTAGTAACAGTATTATGATATCAAGTAATATTGTTTTACAAATAAATATAAACAATTTTATCATTAAAAATGGCATTTTTATTTAAGGAAAAATGGTACATACCTTTGATGTAATAGTGCCTAGAATTGTTACTGCACTTCTATAATAACATAAAATTATTTGCTTTGTACTAAATAATTATGAAATAAAGAAGAAATTAGTAAACACGTATATTATACATCTGTAACATGTAAAAAATATTGTAAAAATAATTTTATAAAATAACAACTATGTTACAACTTTTAAACATAGACAACATACTCTTCTTCTAAAATGTTTCAATATTTCACAGTTAGCACATGCAAAAAATAAAAATATTTGTTTATTTGTATAAAAATAAATTAACTCGTACCTATTTTAAAACTTGGAAAAATGTATTAATTTCAAATATACAATAATAAATAAAAATTATATAAAATGAAAAATGTTTCCTTAGTTATAATTCCAAGCATAACCATTTGCATAAAATTAAACAGTATTCTTTGCTTCTTTCTATTTTTAAATTATCAGACAGATATCAGAAGAAAACCAACGAGGCAGATTTTGATTCAACTGATTATTTAATATTATATTATAATTTTCTCAATAAGATTATAAACATTCGGATGTCGTTTATTAACAATCTACTTATCCAAAATACTTCACATAAGGCTCGTTGGATGCCTACTAAGATAAACTAAGATTGTCCGTTATTTTCAGTTTCAAAGGAATTAAATATTGATCTTTATGGATAGTAATATTCTTAGGTTCTCAAATTTTTCTTGTAATCATAAATTAGCTCTTCTAAATTTACGGGCGTAATTTAGAAAAAGCTATTTAAAATGTAGTAATGATCGCCTTAATCCTCAGGATTAGGATCATTGCTTGAAAACTATGAGAGTCCGTCGATACTTGATCTCATATTTGTCACGGCAACGCTTACGTCACAGGCAAATGTAACAACTGTACCTTTTTGGGTTTTTCTTAATTTTAACTAATCCTAGATGTCTATCCATTCTTCCTAAATTTAGCTCATCCTTCTACTTCTTAACGCAAAACTTCAATTTTGAAAATTATTCAGAAATCTGTCGAACGTCGAAACTGAAGCACGAATTTGTAACTTATCTTTAAATATACATTGATCACAATATTACACTGAACACTCTAACACTTGTACGCTTTAATATGAAATTATACATACAATTAAGGTAAAATGTCATCTTGTTTTTTTACTAAATATAGGGGAGTGTAGTCAGGGTTGGACATAGTTTTGACTTTTCTCTATAACTTCCCCTGTAAGCCGAATTTTGAGATTTCTTGCACACGGTTCGAAAGATCTACTAAAATGTAATGTTTTTACTGAATATTGTAAAAATATTTGATTAAAAGTTTCGGAGTTATAGTCAATTTAAAAAAAATAGTAGTCAGGGTTAAGCCAGTTAGTCAGGGTTGAGCCACTGTAGAAAATCAATAAAATATGCAGATAAATGATTAATAATGACCTTCAAATGATAGAATGGCATTCAAATACACTTGGAAATGTGTAAAGGAACCACGGAATTGAAATAAAAAGTCCTTATTATGTAATTTTCAGATTTTCGCTTATATCGCAAAGCTGGTCTGAAAAGTGAAAAAAAAATTATCAAAAATTTATATTTCCTTTCTTTTCAATGGAAATGAAGTTTTTGACACCTCTTAAAGTCGACAAATGAATTTCCATTGCAAGAACCCTTCATAATTACAAAATTTTTTGGTGGCTCAACCCTGACTCACGTGTCGTTTAGCGTCACATCACACACAAAAATAAACGCGTGATCCAAACACCATATTACGTACCACATTTTCATATAACATCTTAATGAACAATTTTAGTCAAGTTAATTTGTCTTTGACGTATTTATTCTGCACTTAATTGTCTTATTTTGAAGCAAGAAAAAAGTTTTTTGTTGAGCGTACAGCACTGACTTGCATAATACGTCTTTATTGTTCGCACACTACACTACAACGTATGTAAAAAGTTCGCTGACATTGCTAACAAATACTTACATACAAAGACAGATGGATCTAGTGTGATAAAACAAAATAAACGCGTTGGCTCAACCCTGACCACTGTCCAACCTTGACTACTCTCCCCTACCTTCTGATAATTAAGAATAAACAATTAATTAATTCAGAACCGTGCATTAAAATAAATGTGCGGACACAACATTGGTCCTTCGAGCCGGATATCACAAGTTAAGTCAATCTAAAATTTATCGTACCTCTATCGAAGTGTAATCATTGAAGTGTTTCGTGATCAAACTTTGACTGTCATATAAAGTGAAACTAAAAAGTTCATGTAAATTTTCGAACTCGGACGTCGTTATCAAAACTATTCTCGTATCGCCAACGACGCCGAGTTAAGCAGATTCATTGCAATTTCAATTATTGTCCACTTGAATCTCTGTGCTGTGCTTATATAAATTCAGTGAACATTTGACTTTAAATTTGACGTTTTTTATTCCCAGTTTGGGTTCAAGTTCGTTCGTGACTGTAAATTTAGACTTATGTGTGATAATCAGTTCTACATATTATCACTAGACTGAATAAAAGATCAAGGTGTCGGATGTGAATCATCAATTCAACAGAGAAATTAAATCATCACCAATTTGCCGATTTTCAACCAGGATTGAGGACATCTTCAAAGTTAGCAAATTTAAGCCACCAATATTCCTTCATATTAATCCTACTTTAATTGTCTTACCATTTTTTATCCTGTTTCTGCCTTTAATTGATCGTGGATAGTAAAATATTTTCACTGATATAAAGTGGAACAGAGTTTAGAGGAAGTAAAGGTCAATGTTACGAATTTCAAACGTAAAATCACTAATTTTGCAAATTTTATTCAAAATTTTGATAATGATCGCGATTCCGCAATTCTAGAGAAAAGAAAAAACGATGTAGATGCACATTTTTCACACTTTGAGAAATGGTATAATCTTTTAGAGCTTTACGTGGTGGGTGGCAATCACGCAGCTGTTCGAAATGAGTATGAATGAAAATATTATTCTGCATACTCTCAAGCAATAACATATTTAAATGCTGCATCTATGACGCGTAATAACTCAATTAATCTTTCGACAAATACGCAAGGCACCGAACGTACAAATGAAGGTAGTTTAATTCAAAATTCAAAAACAAATTTACAGCGTTTAAGCCTTCCTTCATTTAATAAGTCGTATGATACATGGATAGGATTTTATGATCTATTTAAATCTCTCGTCGATGAAAATTAAAATATTTCATGTACTGATAAACTATATTATTTGAAGGGCTGCTTAACCGGTGAAGCTTCTCAAATTCTAACATCGATTGAATTATCTGCGCAGAATTATACGGTCGCTTGGGAACTACTAAAGGAGCGGTTTGATAATCAAACAATTATTCGTCAGACACATGTGAAAGCTATTTTTTTACCAAATTTTTCGAAAGAGTTCCCTAATCGTTCACTACTTGATCGAATTCAAAAACACATTAGGGCACCCGAAGCTTTAAAGGAACCTATTGATAAGTGGGACACCTTACTTGTTGAAATTATTAACCAAAAACTAAATTCAACTATTTGCGAAAAATGGGAAGAATTTAGTGCTGACTAAGTGACTCAAAGCTTCAAGGAATTAATTACTTTTTTACAGCGTCGCGCTCAATTTGTAGATACAGCTCAACATTTAAACTCAAATAAAAATAATTCGTCCAAGAAAAAACTCTCAAATTCACGTTCAAATAAAAAATCTCAGCAGACTTTTGCTACTGCTACAACAAAAAATTCTTGTGCTCATAGCCAAGGAGAACACATAATTTATTCGTGCGAAACTTTTTAGAGTTTATCCCCCTCAGAGCGTTTTGAAGCTCTACCAAAGGTTTATTAGCTACAGCCCTCGTAGATATAGTAAACACTAAGGGAGAGTCAAAAACATGTAGAGCATTTCTCGATGCGGGTTCACAGGCCAATTTTATAACAGAAACAGTTACTTCCCATTTAAAATTGCCTAGAAATATGGTCGACATTTCTGTATCAGGAGTAGACACTATTTCTACAGAAATAAAAACTTCTGTTTCAGCCACGTTAAAATCGCGTTTCAGCAATTATTCAAAAAATCTCGAATTTCTTGTTCTCGATAACATAACTAAGACTATGCCTTCGATCACTATCAATCTCAAAATTTTAGAAATTCCTAAAAATATCACTTTAGCTGACCCCGATTTTTACAAACCAGCCGAAATTGACATTCTTATCGGTGTTGAATTATTCTTAAAACTCTTAGCTATAGGTCAAATTATGTTAAAAAACCATTCCGACGCTGTGTTAGAAAAAACTCAGCTTGGATGGATTGTCGCAGGAGAAATTAAGGAATCCTTTTTACAGTGTCATTTAATAATGCACTCGACCCCTCTCGATGCTAATCTCACTCGGTTCTGGGAAATAAAAGAATTTTCGTCTTCATAAAAATTTCTCTCCAAGGAAGAACAAGCTTGTGAAGACTATTTCAAGGAAAATACATGTCGAATTTCTAATGGGCAATATCAAGTCAAGTATGCCTTTAACGAAAACAATCAAAAATTGGGAGAATCGCGTTCCATCTCCCTCCGTCGATTTCATTTTGCAGAAAAACAATTTATAAAAAATTCCGAATTGAAAAGTGAATACTGTGAATTTATCGATAAATACAAGGATCTTAATCACATGTCCTTAACAAAAGGTGATAAGTTAGGTTCAGGACAGTTTCTTCCTCATCATGCGGTGATAAAGGAAGATTGTATGACTACTAAAAATCGAGTGGTATTTGATGGATCAGCCAAAACTTCAACAGGTGTTTCCTTACATAAGACATTCCTGATTGGCCCCCCGTTGCAAAATGATTTGTTTTCAATTTTATCTCGTTTTCGCTCTCACCCTTTCGCTCTAACTGCTGACATTGAAAAAATGTATAGGCAAATTCTTGTACATCCAGATGATACTCAGTATCAAAAAATATTATTTCGAAAAAATCCAGATGAAGTGATCCAAGAATTTACATTAAACACTGTCACATATGGTACTTCATGTGCCCCATTTCTCGCAATTCGAGTTTTGCATCAACTTGTCGAGGATGAAAAATCCTAACACCACATCGCTGCAACTATACTAAAAGAAGATTTTTTCGTAGATGATTGTCTGACAGGTGCAAATTCGCGTAAGAAGGATTTGTTCCTTCGTGATGATTTATCATCTCTCTTAAAAAAGGGTGGTTCCCATTTGAGGAAATGGGCCTCAAATGATACTACATTAATACCAGAGAGTTCTCAATCTAATTCAGATCACATGTCGCTCGACCCGAACAGCACTATAAAAACATTAGAAATTCATTGGGATTCCCGTAAAGATGTAATTTTCAATAAAATTGATACCTCAAGGTTTTTGAAAACAATCACGAAAAGGACCATTCTATCATTGATTGCTAAATTATTTGACCCTTTAGGATTATTAGCCCCAGTCATTGTTATGGGCAAGATAATAATTCAACTTTTATGGAAGGCAGGAATTTTGTGGGATAGCTCGGTCTCAGCAAGTATCCATACAATGTGGCTCTCATTTAGAAATCAATTGCATCTGATAGAGAAAATTACCTTCGATCGTTTTATTTTAAACTCAAATTCTGTTGAAATTCAATTGCATGGTTTCTGCGACGCAAGTGAGAGTGCTTTCGGAGCATGTATCTATTTGCGTTCAACAGATGCATCAAGGAAAATTGACATCTCTTTAGTTTGTGCAAAATCGAGAGTAGCTCCTGTGAAACCTGTAACTTTGCCTCGATTAGAATTGTGTGGTGCTTTTCTTCTATCGGGCCTATATAATATAACTCTGCTATCGTTGAAATTAAAAATTGATAAAGTTTACTTGTGGTCAGATTCTATTATCACTTTGCATTGGATTCATTCAGAGCCCCATTTATTAAAAACTTTCGTATCTAATCGAATTGCTGCCATTCAGAATTTATCAACAAACTGTCAATGGAGGCACGTACCAACTAAGGACAACCCTGCTGATTTAGTGTCATGAGATCAAACACCTCAAGAATTTTTAGAAGCTAAGATTTGGAAAACTGGACCTCTTTGGTTAATTAAGGAAGAAAATTTTTAGCCATAAAAAACTATTTTTGTTAGTGAAGTTCCAGAAAAAAGAAAAATTATTGTCTCTGCTCTTTGCATAGAAACAAAAATTTTCGGTGAAGAATTTTTATCAAAATTTAGTGTCCCTATTTATATTTAAAGACTTAAAAAAATTTTAATTCAATTTTTTATTATCTAAATGAAAATTTCTCTTCGTGTACGTGTTCTCCAATGTATAAAATGTAATGTACGAAAGTGGTCAGTATTTTTATAACACTCAATATGTAATATAAAGAATTTTCCCCATAAAAACATTTTTTAAAACATATCACAGTGGCCGATTTCCCGAAAAACCTGGCCAAAAGTCAAAAAATTTTTTTTTATAAATTTATACTTTTTATTGTTGAATATTATAAAGGAGGGTTCACTGCATAATTTTGCGAAAAAAAATTACACTTTTTTTATCACCAATTTATTATGTGAACAAGTAAAAGTGATCTTTGCCAGAGATTTACTCAGAACGTTTCATAACTATAAATTTTCGTCACAGTTAAAATAGTGAAAATATACTAATATACAGCAGATTTTTGAATATCTTTTTTTGGGAATTATTAACAAAGGTGTATGAAATATGTTGAATGTATTTATAATCACATTTAAAACGTACAGTTTTTAAAAAATGACATTAAACATCGCTATTCATGGCGACGATTTTTGTATTGTTTTATCAACGTAAATCATGAAAATAGTTGTGAAATCCACCGATATCCGCGCTCTACCTGGTATTATCATAAACTAGAATATATTTTTAATTCATTTTAATTGAAATCAGTTGCCCCAAGCTGCCCCTGCAGTTTTGGTATCACTTTTTATTTCACTAAGCGCGGTTTACCGACAGCGCGTTGCACCAGCCGGCGGTGCAACTGAACGTGAAAGACTGACTTTTTCTTCATTCGCATTCGCTTTAAACTAAAATTTAAGCACTGTCTGTAATTTAAAAAAAATAAGCTCTAACACATTTACGCAATTTTATAATACCAGCAAATATTTTGGATCCGCCATATTAAATTTGATAAAACAAATGTAAAATTTGATTTCAGAAACCCAGTAAACGTAAGTATACTAAGTTTGGTTAAAATCGTACCATTTTTTAATTTTTAGCAGTTTTTTAAAATCTAAACGGCCATTTTGGATCCGCCATTTTGAATTTGACACAACCAATGTAAAATTTGAATTCAGAAGCCCAAAAAACATGGGTATACCAATTTTGGTTGAAATCGTATCATTTTTCGATTTTCAGCAAAGTTTTTTAAAATCTAAACGGCCATTTTGGATCCGCCATTTTGAATTTGACACAACCAATGTAAAATTTGAATTCAGAAGCCCAAAAAACATGGGTATACCAATTTTGGTTGAAATCGTATCATTTTTCGATTTTCAGCAAAGTTTTTTAAAATCTAAACGGCCATTTTGGATCCGCCATTTTGAATTTGACACAACCAATGTAAAATTTGAATTCAGAAGCCCAAAAAACATGGGTATACCAATTTTGGTTGAAATCATATCATTTTTCGATTTTTGGCCAGGTTTTTCGAGAAATCGGCCACTGTGCATATGTATATTATTTGTGTAAATGTACGTCAGAATGAAATTGAAGTTTTCGAGTAATATCAAAACTAAAAATTCGTGTTTATTATTTTTGTCATCGTGTACCGTCAGACAGATTTTTTTAAAGAGTAAAGTCAGTCGTTATTAAAAATAAGAAGAACGTTTTTTTTGTTTTGTATAGTTTTTTTATATAGAAATTATTTAAATATGTGATTACTAGAAAAATTTTTATTGAGCAGAGAAGTGTTCCTTGATCTTGCGTTTTATGATTTTTGACATAGTTTAGAACGAAACTCACGAAAAAAATTTGTTTTTCAACATTTCAAAGATTTAATTTTAATTAAAAAAGTTAGGCTCATATTGACGATTTTTTTATTTTTACCCATAATTATTAAGACTCTTCACTTATGCATTCACTACTGCGCAGCTTCTAGATTTTAATTTAATTTCCGCCCGTTGGATAGCAGGTCGACGCTTCGCCCTCGTTAGCTTGCGACGGTAATTTAAGCAGTAGCGTAAGTTTTTAAAAATGTATCGTTCCTTCTTCTTATCTTTTGTCTTATTCTTACATTTTTAAAAGTGAGATTTATATAAAATAAATGTATTAAAGGGTATTAATTGTTTTATTGTGTTTTATCCCTTTAATTTCTTTTCTTATAACGTAGCTTGGCAGTTCCTTTGAAAATAGGATACACGATCCCATAAAATAAACGAAATTCAATTTTAATTTCGGCAGCTTGGTGCCTCCAGGACATAGGAGATAATAATTTTTATAATTAATATTTTTCGGTTCGTAACATTGGGACAGTCAGTTTCAAGCGTTTAAAGTTTATCTAATTTTTTTTTGGCTGCATAAAATTAATCTTAGAAATGTAAATAACAACTTTAACAAAAAAAACCCGCAAATATTACGTAATAATTGAAAAATGGAGATTATGTCCCTATTTACCTCTACTGACCCTACAAATATTTCGTAATTTTATCAATCGTCACTAAACTTTGTTTTTCCACGTGTTATTTTATTTTTTTATTTTATATTAACTCAAAACAAATATAATAAAAATTAATTTTAACAATTTTTTTGTATTTTTTTCTGTGATTTTTAAATCACAAAAAAATTTTAAATCTAACATTCAGGTTATTAAAACAAATTTTTAATCGCAGCTGCGATTTTTAAAAAATTTAGAATTAGGTTATAATTTTGAATTTATTTTCACCTTATTAACATTGAAAATTAGTTAGAACGAAACGTATAAGTAACCTCTAACACAAATTTTTTTGAATTTGACTTTATATAGGTTAATCAATTAGTTTTAATGCGAGAAATCACTTTTATTGGACAAAAAAATTAAATTTGCCGTGAAAAAAATTGTTTGGTTAAGAAACATATTTTCGAATTTTTGAAAAAGTGACAAAAAAAATTATGCGGATATTTTTGGAAATCTTTGTGTCTGATTTTTAATATTAATAACTATAATAAGACGACAAAATTTTAGGACAATTCAATAAAGGGTGTTGGAAATAATTTGTACATAAGATTTTTTGGACGTATGCACACACACACATCTGGACACTTGTTTATAACTTCAAATATCCAATCAAAATAAAAATGAGCATATATATAAACTTTAAAATATGCATACACTATCAAACATTCAATTTACATCATAGTCCTTTAAATTGTGTGAAATCGTAATTTTATACATATGAGAGATTCTTTTTCAATCGCCCCAGCCCAAAAAGTCAATGTTCTGGGATTGGCTTCATACTTTGGTAAATTGTTGTCCTATATGATAGTAATAAATCCCTAAAATATAAATTAATTAAAAAAATATTTGTAGAAAGTAGAGGGGGTTGAAGTTTTGACGTTAAGGGTAACATTGTCATTTTCAAATCCGTTTAACTATGACAAAAGTTAATGGATTTTAATTTATCTATAATGAATTTTATTGCATTTTTCACGTACTTTTCAAAAATGTATATGAAATTTAAAAAAAAAAATTTTTAACCCCTTTTTTGTCAAAATCAACCCTTATTTTTCGATTTTCACCCCTTCGGGTATTTTTTTTTTTTTTTTTTTTATTTTCATTGGAAAGCTGAGGTTTTTTCCGATGAGCTATGTAAATATGAAAATGGGACAACAATAATTTTGTGAGTAACAGAATATTAAAGTAGGCGGTGCCGATAAGGGGTGTACCTGGAGATCATCTTTGAGGATTTAGATAGGCACCGCCTAATTTAATATTCTGTTTCTCACAAAACTATTGTTGTCCCATTTTCATATTTACATAGCTCATGGGAAAAAACCTCAGCTTTCCAATGAAAATAAAAAAAAAACAAAAAAAAATTCCCGAAGGGGTGAAAATCGAAAAATAAGGGTTGATTTTGAAAAAAAAGGGGTCAAAATTTCTTTTTTTTAAATTTTGTATACATTTTTGAAAAGTACGTGAAAAATGCAATAAAATTCATTATAGATAAATTAAAATCCATTAACTTTTGTCATAGTTATACAGATTTGAAAATGACAATGTTACCCTTAACGGCACCCTTATCGGCACCGCCTACTTTAATATTCTGTTTCTCACAAAATTATTGTTGTCCCATTTTCATATTTACATAGCTCATCGGAAAAAACCTCAGCTTTCCAATGAAAATAAAAAAAAAAAAAAAAAAAATACCCGAAGGGGTGAAAATCGAAAAATAAGGGTTGATTTTGACAAAAAAGGGGTTAAAAAATTTTTTTTTTAAATTTCGTATACATTTTTGAAAAGTACGTGAAAAATGCAATAAAATTCATTATAGATAAATTAAAATCCATTAACTTTTGTCATAGTTAAACGGATTTGAAAATGACAATGTTACCCTTAACGTCAAAACTTCAACCCCCTCTACTTTCTACAAATATTTTTTTAATTAATTTATATTTTAGGGATTTATTACTATCATATAGGACAACAATTTACCAAAGTATGAAGCCAATCCCAGAACATTGACTTTTTGGGCTGGGGCGATTGAAAAAGAATCTCTCATATATGAGAGATTCTTTCATATCTCTCATATATGAGAGATTCTTTTTCAATCGCCCCAGCCCAAAAAGTCAATGTTCTGGGATTGGCTTCATACTTTGGTAAATTGTTGTCCTATATGATAGTAATAAATCCCTAAAATATAAACTCATTTAAAAAATATTTGTAGAAAGTAGAGGGGGTTGAAGTTTTCACGTTAAGTGTAACATTGTCATTTTCAAATCCGTATAACTATGACAAAAGTTAATGGATTTTAATTTATCTATAATGAATTTTAATGCATTTTTCACGTACTTTTCAAAAATGTATACGAAAT